GTATAAAGACTGCAAAGGCTGAAAAATCTTGAAGTCTGAAATTGGAGGTAGTTTGAGGATTAAATGTTTTATGCTTTTTAAGTTAAAAAAAAGGGGGGGTCGTATTATACATGAGATCGTATTATACATGAATAAATACGTTAATTAAAAAACTACAGTTAAACTGTAACAATTATTGATTTTTTTTATAGTTTCTTCTGTATGTTTCKTTTTTTAAAATCTGTTCACACAGTGTGCTGTTTAAACCACTCATATGTCAAAATGTTGGGCTCCACCTGCAGAAAAGACTTGGACTTTTTGAAGAGTTTAACTTTATTTACAACTATTTTCCCACAGAAAAACATCAAGATTTCTGCAATAAATTTAAAAACAGTGTTTCTGAAATCTACTTCAGCTACTTGCTCTGACTCCTCCTGCTGCTCCTTTTAGCTTTAAGCTACAGTCTTACTCATTTTAGCTTTTATGCTTAGCTTGCTTTATGCTGCATTTAGCTTTTAGCAGCAGATTTTGCGCAATTTTATTTTAACAGTTCAGTCCAATGCATCAGTCATTCAGTTTTCACATTGTCAAACAGAATATGTATTTTCTTTAGTTTTTCTTTAGTTTTGTTATATATTGTATTTTCTATTGGAATAGAATTGAGCACACTCCAGGTCTGTTAGCCTGTCGTTTGTGTTTTATTGAATGAACGTTTCAGCAGTAACAGTTTGTTGTTGCCCCTCAGGGTCAGCGCGGGTCTTTGAGGCCCAGGACAGTGACCCGGAACTGGTCCGGAYCATCGACGCTCACAGCCCCGTTGGCAGACTGATCCAACTCAAAGTGGGAGCTCAGGTGGGATTAACATGAATTCAGCTGCACCTTGTCTTCCTCTCTGTTCTCAGCCTGCTGAAGCAACCTGTGAAACTTTGTGTATCTTTAAAGGTCATGTTAACTAAAAACCTGGATGTTGGTCGAGGTCTGGTGAACGGAGCACGGGGAGTTGTTCTAGATTTTGAGACTGGAAAACACGGTTTGTGGAGTTTTGTATTTTAATAATCTGTTTTGTTAAAGTTGTTTAAAGCAGATGTTGAACAAACATCTTTTATGCAAACGTGAAAAATAAATGTATTCAGGAATAGTTTGGTTGTTTTAAGAAGGTATGGTCCATACATTTGTATAAATTAATATTGTATGTCTGTTTAAACTGAATTAAGATCATTTTAATTAATACAAACAGCACTGAGCACTTTAAAGGAGACATATCATGCTAAATGCATGCACTTTTTTTGCATTTATAAACTATTTTTTGTGCAATTGTAGTGTCTAGAAGTGTAGAAAACTTTAATTTATTTTGTCCAGTTACTGCAAAGATATTTTTAAATTTTTTATGGGTCAAATTTTTCAGTTTGTTCAAAATCTGCTGTTGCTTATTACGTTTCATTGTTTATTTCGTCACACTTTTTTCTTTGGAACTACCATTTATGGTAATGTATTTCCGGCCAACTGGATTTCCTAGTCCACCATTTTTTTCCTCACTGTGTGATTTTGGAGTTCATAGCATCATGCTGAAAATGCAAGTTCAGAAGTCAAAAGGTTTGGTTCTGGGGTGTGTAAACCCATATTATTATCTACATAGAC